CTCACACTCACACACACACACACACACACACACACACACACACACACACACACACACAGATCACTGATATTACCTCAAACCCCACACACTCACACACACACACACACACACACTCATGCCTCAGACACCCATATCTGTACATTTCATCACACTTTTCAAGCTATAACTTTTATATTTGATGGTATATTTTTATACATATTTGTATATATGTGTGCGTGTGTGTGTGTGTGTGTGTCATATTTCTCTCCAGAATTATAAGAAATTATATTTTAAATACAGAAATTTTATATATATTTTAGATATTTTAAATACTGTTTTTAGGACGACTACGCTATCTTACATTCTAACATGATTTTCACGAGGCTTCAGCACATTCTGGTGAATGAATCGAACATGACGCCTGTTCTTCACATTGAGTGTGTTTATGCTGTGTGTAATTACAGAGTTCAGACGCGCATCGCTTTATTCATGAGGTCAGAGGTCAATATCTTTCTAAACTTACAGACAAAGCCTGAATGACACAGAAAGTGAGCCGGCCAGCCGGTGAAGAGCGAGGTTCATCAGGACGGTCTGATATTTGTCTCTCCGCTGGGACTGTGGCGTCAGGATTACGCAGTTCGTTTGAGGTGCTGTTTAATTGGCAGCTGGGCCGTGGAGGATTATGGGTATTTCGAGGGGTGACGGAGGGACGTCCATCTGCAGTCACAGACACACATGAACATGAACACACCTCTGCGTCTGTCACAAACACACTCACACTCGACACGTACTGGATCTCTGCTTTTGGCAAATGTAATTTCTTACTGTAACGGAAGAGTTCACTAACGCACGTGTAATGAGAGGATTCCATTTGTGACGCTAATCATGCTATTTTTGATTCATTTGGAAAGAATGTCTGAAATTAACTATTTATTTACTAATAAACACTATAACAGTTATAGTATATAAACTATAATATATATAATAAAGTATAAGTTAAAAATGTTTTATAGTATGTATAGTATGATTTATACTTATCATGATTATCATATAATTATACTTTTTTCTACTATAAGTTTCCTAATGTTTTATACTCTGACAAACTGCTGTTGTTGGGCAGATAGAAAGTAGCCTATGCATGATATGGAGATTTACTTGTAAATATAAAGATGCATAGCTCTGACTAATTTTAAACTGTAATAATAATAAATTAAACTTGGCAGCCCCTGAAATCGATCATCTCGTGCATTCAAAGACGTGCATTTATTGCTTGGACGGAGCAAGAACACTTTCTTAAATTCATGTGCAGATTCAGTCGAGTAATATATACATACTTTTTAGTATGTAGCAGAATAGTGGGCAAGCTTTGGGACAAACTACTTCCTCAGAACTGCGTCTTTATTATGTGCATTCTGTCACAGTTTAAACTGCCCTGTCAATCATCTTGTCAAAGTTAACGTCTCAGGTTACTTATGTAACCATGGTTCCCTGAGTAGGGAACGAGACACTGCGTCCTCTAGGGGTCATACTAGTCTTGCCCTGTCACACAGGGGCTCCTGCACGTTCTCTTTGTATGTGCTGAAGGAACTGTCTCAACAGAC